CATCTTCTCACCTCAGGGAGTTTCCCAGGCTCTTCCTGGTTCCTCTCTGCCATCCATGAGCTAGAAACCCTCCAGAGGCAGTAAGCTGGGCGGCCTAGGGCTCACTTTATTTGAGTCCCATCTCTCAAGGATCACGTCCTTTCTAGTGTCCTGAAAACCATCATTTCGTATATTTTGACTTTATTTTTGAGTGGGAAAGAGAATTCAGTCCGTGGTACTCCATCTTGCTCAGAAGCAGAAATTAATGTAGTTGCTTTTGCTTTGGAGCCTGAGACAAGTTTTCAGTTTCCAAGTTTCTACGGAACCAAGTCAGGTTCTGATGCTGCGTGTCCCTCGGTGTGAATCCGTCTCACCTTTCAGGGTCCAGCTCGGATGCTGCTTCCTTCAGAAATCCTTCATTCATCTCGACCTCACACACTCTTCCTGGTGTGGGTTACTGACTCTGCCCTGCCCTGCATAATTCAGACATTTTCCGAGTTTGTGTGTGGAAACAAGGGAACAAGGCAGAGTCCTCTCCATGGATGCTCACCAGATTTGTTTTTCTCCATTGAGTGATGTGTTTCAAGTTCTTATAATGAGTATGGTTAGGGAAAGAGCCACACAAACAGATAATTAGGATACGTTGTGAAGATGCACAATAGACAGAAACACACGTGGTGTGTTTCAGGTCATTACCGGTGCCTGTCTTCCCTTCTCCCTCCTTCAGCTGAGCGAGCCCAGCGGGGCACATGGTCCTCATTTCTGCTCTTCAGGGCCAGGTGTATGGTGGGTGCCTACTGAACTGAGCAGATCCGTGAATGTCAGGGTTAAGAGCATGGACTCTGGGGTCGGGCCTGGGTTCAGATCTTGGTTCTGTCACTTAACTTCTCGGCTCTTCAGCAGGAAAACAGGAGCTTGGTTGTGGACTTGCTGAGATTGAGATGCCTGATAGGGGCAGGTGGAGACCCCAGAAGGGAGCTGAATATGCAAACCTAGAGTTCAGGGAGAGGGAGTGGCTGGAGAGGGAGATCCCGAGCCATTAGCATTTGGCCCTTAGTGTCCTGGGACAGAGGAGGTCATGTAGGAAGCAAGTGCAGACAGAGGGGTTTGAGGATTGAGTCCTGGGGCACACCCACATTTCGAGGTGGGGGGATGACGAGGAAGCATCGAGGAGACTGAGACGTGGCCATCGAGGTGGGAGGATCGCAGGCTAGTGTGGTGACTTGCAGGGAGAACAAAGAGTCTTCTACAAAGAAGGGAGTGATTGACAGCCTGAGATCCTCCATGAGCATCCTTTGCTCCACTGGGGTAGATCATGGGAGCTGCTAAGACGGGGCTGGGTGACTGTTCTGAGTCCCACCCGTGCTGGTGTGTCAATGTGCACCAAGCACGGGAGGCTGCCCCCTGCGTGGTGAGGGGGAGCCCGGAGCTTTGCCATTCGGCGGCTGTCTGGGCTACCCTGGTAACTGGGGAGAAAGAGCTGGCCTTGCCCATCCTGCCTCCTAAGCTCCGTCTGTCAGCCGTGCATTGGAAAGGCACCCCCGACCTTTGCTGGGGTTGGACTGGATCTGCTTACATCAGGGTTTTACTTTTAATTTACTTAATTTTCTGGCGTAGGCATTGATTTTTATTGGCTTTTGCCCCTAGGGAGCTCCACAGGCCATCAAGCAGGACCGATCTGAAGATAAACAAGTCTTGCACTTGGAAAGACAATATTGTTGTTGACAAATGCACCCTGGGGAAAAGGCAGGGCCAGCTCTGCGTCAGAGCCAACACAGACAGCCTTGCGAGTGGGGACTTCAGGGAGCCAGCAGACAGGTCAAATGGTGACAGTGCTTTGGGAAGGAGGCCCATCTGCTCCCTCAGTGGCTGCCAGGCGGCTGGCCTTCATCCAGAATGCAAGCTATTGTGTTTCAAGGCTGCTGCAGAGCTGGAGAGGGGCACAGGGCTGGACAGAGTAAAACATTCTCACCGAGAGTCAGCCAGTTTTTCTTGGATAAACACTCTCTGCGTTGCTATAGCCATTTGGTTAATTTACAGAGTTCTGAAAAAGTTGATACCGACCATTTTTGCCAGTTTTCTTGTTGCTTTTATGAAGGAGAGAATTTTCCGCCATCTTCGCCAATGTCACTGACAAAGTTCTTTATTTTTAAACAATTATTTATTTTTATATAAAGAACTATGTTTATGATAAAAAATAAAATACAGAAAACCAAAATTAATAAGTAAAACGATCAATTCCTGGCATTTCCCTGCCAATTGATAATAAGATTGTATACACTTACAAAATTAGACACACACACATGAATATGTTTCTGTGTATAACATGCATACTACTTTTCTAAGTTGCTTTTCTTAGCGACGTATCATGAATGTTTTTTTGTTCCTCAGTAACACACACGCCATCATTTTTATTAGGTTCACAATATGCAGATGGTATAGAAGCACCATAATTTAGCAAGTTGGATAGTTAGGCTATGTTTAATTTCTTACTTGCATAACTAGGGCTGGATGGACACCCTTTTGTGTGTTTTTATGTGCTTGTTCCCTTCGTTGTGGGAGGCAGACTCCCAAAATTGGGATTTCTGGGTCAAAAGATAGGAAAGTGAGCGTGTTGGGGGCTCTGGGGGAGGATCGCTTGCTCCCCACGCTGGATAGAAGGGTTTCCCGGCCTCTGTTTCCCAGCCTCACACCCGCTCAGGTTAGCCAGCGTACTCGGGCAACGCGTGCTCTCTCAGATTAATTCTGACAGTTGTATAGACGCGCCACTCATTCATGAAAAGCCCTCATTTTAGGCTATTTGTCTGGAAATTTCCCTTTCTGACTTTTAAGTTGCGAACCCTGGTTACCTCCTGATACCTTGGGGAAGACCTGACGTCAGCCCGTAAGTCTTTGTTGGGGCCCTACTGTGTGTGTGCCCAGGTTGTGAGCACAGAGGTGGGATGGACAAGCAGAGGAGAATGACTTGCTCCCAGCACAGAGATTTCGTGTGGAGCGAATTCTCATTTACATCTAGAAATCTGATGAAGGGCTCTTTTTCTCAGTTAAGGAAAAAATATAATTAAAATTTGTAATGACAAGCTTGAGACATTTGCACCAGGCTTAAAGACTTGATCAAAAGCTAACACGATTAAACCACATTCAGTGTAGTTTTATGGTTAAGCATATTCTGGTTCTCTGAAAATGGCAATCCCTTCTTGCCTTGTATTAGGCCCTTGACATTCACGAAGGATTGGTCTGGAGACCTTTGAGACTCCCTCAATTCGTAAATGCCACTCTAGCTTTCAGTTTCCCCCAGAACACGCTGTAAAGACCAACTTAAAAATGTATGTGACTCCTTGAGGCTCTTTATGATTCTATAACTACAGGACTCTAGTCATTTATAAAGCTATTAAAACCAACTCAGGCTGGAGTCATTGTTTTTCTCTTTCTCTATAAAACATAGCAAACAAGTTCATATTAGAAATTCAAGCCTCAGCTGAATTCAACTTTTTCTGTCTTGCTTTCTCCCAAACTTCTGTTAAACTATCATGTTATTAGACTTATTTCTTCCTTTGTTTCCATTTCCACACTAGGAGTTGACTTTCTTTGGGAGCCATTTTTCTTAAGAAATAAAGTTTGCCTCCATCTGTGGGGGTGACCGTGTTGGCTGATGGTCTGAGCCCCCAGGATTTAAATCGATGCCCTAGTAAAACTGCAAAACCACACACTCAGAACCACAGTCTGCACTGTACTCTGTGGTTACCTGCCTGCAGTCACCATCTGCAATTGCCAGGGGCGGGTCGGGACTCCGTTATTCAGAACGCTCAGTTAACCAGAACACCACCAATCCCTAGCGCTCTGATGAGTGCCCTTCTCTGCCCGTGAATGCAGCCAAACCCCATTTCTGCTCTTAGGTTAATTTAAACATTTTGTTGGGGCCAGCCCGGTGGTGTAGCAGTTAAGAGCACATGCTCTGCTTCGGCGGCCCAGGGTTTGCAGGTTCGGATCCCGGGCACGCATTGATGCACTGCTTGGCAAGCCATGCTGTGGCGGCGTCCCATATAAAGTGGAGAAAGATGGGCACGTATGTTAGCCCAGGGCCAGTCTTCCTCAGCAAAAAAGAGGAGGATTGGCATTGGTTGTTAGCTCAGGGCTGATCTTCCTCACACACACAAAAAATGATAAAAGAAAAAATAAATAAATAAACATTTTGTTCCCTAAGATCTTACTTGTGCCCTGCTTTCACTCAGCTGATTCTGGACATGCAGAATACAAGGGTCAGTCTCAGCCTCGTAGACCCTGAATCAACCCACCCGTTCGTTCTCCCAGCAGTATTCATTGATAACCTACTACGTCAACACTATTCTAGGACCCAGGACAGCAGACTGTTGTTGAATTTAAAGTCTAGTGGAGGATACAGATGAGAAACTAATAACAAGCAAGAGATCAGATAAAGGAGGAATTGATAGGGTCCTGCGATGGTGATTGGAGGCCGTTGGGCCTCTTTGTGGAGACGGTTCAGGGCCAGCCCTGGACGGTCCAGCAGAGCAGGGAGGTAGGCAGAGGAAAGATGTGGCGCAGTGACTCTGAGGTGGGACACTCTCTAGGAGCTGAAAGGAGACGCATGTGGCCAGAGGGCAGCGGGCAGCGGGAGAGTGGGACCACATAGAGATGGGAGCAAGGGCTGCCGCGGGTCAAGTAACTGTAAGTTATGACCCAAACTCAGACACTTTTGAAAGAAAAAGTGGGTTCTGTTGGTAATTACCCTGGGATAACAGTGTCAACCAGGACTGTCCCTGGAGACCCGGGACGTATGATCCATCTCCACCCATGGAACATGTGGCCACGGGTGAGGGGCCTCAGAGAAGGGAGGTGGTGGCGTCTCTCTCGCCCTGCGTGGCCCACCGTCTGCGGGAAGGCACCGCCGCTCTGGTCCACTGTCCTTCCTGCAGCAGGTGGGCGGCTGCATTGACCAGCCAGCGCCACACTAACACCGGTGTTCTTGCCTTCTCTCTCCCTCCCTCCGACGGCTCCCCCAGGAACACTGCCCAGGAAATGCAAGAAGGAGCTCTTGGCGGTGAAACTGAGGAACCGGCCCAGCAAGCAGGAATTGGAAGACCGGAATATTTTCCCCAGGAGGACTGATGAAGAAAGGCAGGAAATTCGGCAGCAGATTGAAATGAAACTCTCCAAGTAAGTAGCAGTGTGTAGACACGAGTGAAGGCCGTGTCCCAGCTTGGCGGCTGAACCCCTCTGAGGCCTCGCCTTCCCCCGCTGCGCTCTCCCAGCGCTCCCAGACGCCGTGCGTGCAGCAGTGTTTCTCACCCTCGCTGCTGTCAGCGCTTGGGACCAGATAGGTCTCTGTCGTGGGGGCCGTCTGGTGCACTGTCGGATGCTTAGCAGCATCCTTGGCCTCTGCATGTTACATCCCCCTGTGACAACCCACGCTGTCCCCAGACATTGCCAAATGCCCCCTGTGGGGCACATCACCCCTGTGGAGAACACTGTTCTATAGAAGCCAAGCGAGGTGCCCAAAGGAGTGAAGGGGTTGCGGTTGGGAGGGACAGTGGCAGAGTGGTGACGACATGCCTTGTCAGGGGCTAGGTGGGGGGAAAGTCCCTATTTACTTCCACCTGATCATTTTCCTGCAAGAGTGTGCACCCAGTATTGCCAAATCCTCTAAGTTTTTCAAGAAAAGCTGGAAGTCTGTGTATTAAGGGGGGACTACATGTGCACCAAGTCAAACCCATCTGCTGCCTGGCTGTGACCCAGAGCTACGAGGGAGCGCCCTCTGCCTTACAGCCCCCGAGGGTCCCCCAGGCGGTCACTGGCTAGGATCTGCTGTGCTACGGGACAGGACCACGCCGAGCTGTGCGTCTCCATGGCCCAGCTCTGTCAGGATCCGGTCATGCCCTGACATGGATGCCTTGACAGTGAGTGAGGGGCAGGAACATAAAATCTGGCGGCTTTCAAGTGTTGACGACCCTCTAGGTTGCTTTTCCAGAACCAGAGGAGCTGGGGTCCGGAACCCAGAGCCTCTTCTGCCTCCCAGCCCTCACCAGCATTCCTGCCACAAAGACAGCTGAGAGCGGCTGAGCATGCGCCAGCAGGCTTTTAGAAGGGGAAGCAGACCCTTCAGTAGGGAGCATCTCCGTTTCCCCTGATCCCCAAAGAGTGGGGCCAGACGGTAGCCCCAAGTTTCGTGTGTGGGTGTTGGGAGAAGAAATATTAACGGGGTTGGGGCACGTGATCCTGGCACACAGCCACCCTCAGGCTGGGATCTTCCCCACCTCCCTCTTCCTGCTTGTGGGGTATGAGTCTGTCCGTGCAGGACTGGGCTTGGGGGGACCGGTGTCCTGGATACTCTCCGGCCCTCCACTTCCCTCTTTAAACCCCAGAAGCAGGCCCTGCACGGCAGGGAGAGATGGCGCCCTGAAGGTGAGCTGGCCTGCCCCGAGAGCAGCGCTGTCCCTGAGTCCCGTGGATGTGCTCTTGGTCAGCGCTCCTCCCTGTCGCCTGCATCCAGGTCACCTGGAGGGACCTTGTGAAATGCACATTCTGATTCAGCAGGTCTGTGGTGGGGCCTGAGGGTCCGTGTGTGGACAGGCTCCCGGGGAACGCCAGTGCTGCTGTCTGTGGGCCACGCTGGGAGCAGTGAGGGTCTGGAGCAGGGTCTCTCAACTCGGTCACTCTTGACATGTGGGGCCGGATAACTGTCCTGTGCGGCCGTCCTGTGCATGGTAAGACATTCAGTAGCGTCCCTGGGCTCTACCCTCGAGATGCTCATAGCACCCTGCCCGCAGCTGTGACAACTAAAAATGTCTCCAGTCGTTGCCAAGTGTCCCCTGGGGGGACGGAATCGCAGGTCAGAATCACTGATCTGAAGGTCCCTTGGACTTCTCCTCTGGGCAGTCTTTCTTCTGCCTGAGGCGCAGGGCTATTCCTCCCAGGTGGTGGGCCTGGTTCCTGCTCCCTGCCAGGGGGCCTGGGCCTCAGTGTTCTCACCCCTGCCCCGCCCAGGGTGGAAGGCAGTGAGTGTGTGCAGAAGCCCAGACCCCAGGGCCTGTGATTCTCAGGGGCCTCGGGTGTCTTGCCTGTAAAATGGGGTGATACCAGCTGCCAGGCTCATGGCAGAGGGGCGGGTTCGGCGAGGCACACATGCCCGCAGGCCGTGGGGGTCCCGAGCGGTGTCGTGGAGGGCTTGGAATCTCACAGACCTGGGTTTGAATCCCCGCTCTGTGCTGACGTGCTGGGTGACCTTGGGCAAGTGACCTTACCCCTCCTCTTGGTTTTCTCATCTGTAAAGTGGGGTGCCGACATGTTCAAGGTCATTGTGAGTTTTCGGGGAGGTCCTGAAGGAAGGTGTGTTGCAGAGCCCCTGCCATGCGGTAGGTGCTCAGGGAGTCACCGTTTGGCTGGTGAGGCTGGCAGCCGGGTTCCCGCAGCCCCTCTTCCTACGTCAGCTCTAAGCTGTGTGGCCGAGGCTGCCCGAGGCACAGATCACTGTCACCGTGCCTGGTGGTGACCAGGGGCTCCCGAACCCAGAGGAGGGCTCCCACGGAGAAGCTTTTTAAAATACAGATTGCTGAGCCCCACCCAGACCCACAGTTCACTGTCTGGGCGGGGCAGGGGGGGGCATTTTAGCCAATTCCCTGATATTGACGGGTTGAGGGAACGTCCTCACATTGGAGCGAGACTGTCAGACCGTCAAGCGTTTGTCACTCTGTCTGGTCATTCAGTACTTACAGTCACATGTCTCTTAACAATGGGGACACATTCTGAGAAATGCGTTGTTAGGCGATTCTGTTGTTGTGTGAATATCATAGAGTGTACTCACACAAACCTGGGTGGTACAGCCTGCTCGCACCAAGGCTCTGTGGTACTAATCTTCTGGGACCACCGTGGTGTATGCCATCCATCCGTCGTTGACCAAAACGTTGTCATGCGACATGTGTGTTTCACTCATATGGGAGCAGACGCTGTTGCAGTTGCTAGAGGTACCGCCATGGGTGATGAAGGAGACCCCTCCCATTAGCTCGTGCATCCCTGGAGAGCAGCGGCTGCCTCAGGCCTCGTGCTGTGTGGCTGAACCCACTCAGGAGCTCGGTACAGACAAGATGCTCAGTAAACGCTGTGGGAGGGAGAGCGGGAAACATGGTGCCTCCATCCCTCAGAAGGGATCCGACAGTCACAGAGGAAGAGGAGGCTTGACCTCAGGCATGCACATCCCAGGACAGTGCACAGGGTGAGGCAGGACAGGGACACCCGAGACTCAGGTCAGCCCCTGTCACTGGCGTGATCCCTCAGAGGTCCCCTGAAAAGATGACAGGCGTTAGGTGTATGCGAGTTCTCCGCGACCAGGTAAGTTTGGGAAACCATGACACAAGTGGTTATTTGCCACTGCACTCGTCCGAGCCTTTAATGCGATGGTGCAGCTCTGCGGGAGGGGACAGCGTGTCTTTGTCCTGGTGTGTGCAACCAGGAGGCCTCTCCTCCCAGGGCATCACAGACGCATGTCAGGGCCCCTCCTGGGGAGTGCAGCTGTGGTCATGAAGCTGTGCTGGGGGCCCGAGCTGGAGTGCAGGGAAACCTGAGGGCGCTGGGACGGCCACATTCACGGCCACATGGGGTGTGCCACGCCCAGCGTTGGCCCTGGCCTCAGCTGCGGCTGGAGGTGTTCTTGGTGGGCTGTGGGTTGTCCACCCAGACCCACGTGCCCAGACCTCGCCCACAGTGAGGGGGGGCAGTTCTTGGACCTCTGGGGAGTTACTTGAGCAGTGGAAGGAATGTCAGACTGTGGGTGGGGAGGTGACGAGGAGACCTCATCGTCCTGGGATGACGTGAGGGACTCGGTGCCACCACCACGATCAGGACTTTGACGGCTATCACTTCAGGGTCTCCCTGACAGCCTCCGCCTGTGAGGGAGGCTCCCAGCCCTGCTCTGACCACAGGCTGCCGTGATCCGGCTCCTGGCCAGGTGGGCAGGCCCAGCACTGACTGACCACAGGCAGGGCCCTGCCTCTCTCTGGACGTCCAGTTCCCAGCACGTAAAACGAAGAGCAGGGGAGAATCAGTGCTTCCCACGCTGCCGTCACTGTGGAGCGTTGCTGCGAGGGAAGCGTCTGGGTCCGCAGAGCCCTGGGAGCAGATGGTGTTCATTTCCCTTTAGGTCAGCGTTGCCTCATCCTGACCGATGATAGCCACTGGACTGTGGTCTGAGGTTCTAGGTACATGTTCTTTTTGAATAAAGGAGAAGAGACTCCCTTCCTCTCATCCGTCGGGGTGTTCTGAGGCTCAGATGAGAAGCCACAGGGAGAAGGCACCTTGTTAATAAAGCGTCCTGCTCACCTGCTGGAGTTGTGATAGGATGATCGCTCTCGATCCTCTCTCTGCCCCCTCCATCTCTTTGCAAACTTCTCCTTTCTTTTCATTGGTAGACAGGCCATATTCATCCAGTTGTATTTTCAACAGCTCTTTGCTGAATACCTACGACGTACCAGACACTATGCGGGATACTAGTTACCACCATGAACAAGATAACGGTGCTGTCTGCCCTCGTGGGGCTTACAGCATCTGAGTGTGCTGCAGGCATGGCTGGATCTAGGTGCTCACATGGCATTGAAAGGAGTTGGTCTGTTTCTGTTTCTTAACTCTTCTGTGCTCTGTGTGGATTTATTCTCTGGCCATCTCACTCCACATCCTGGCCCAAGAAGCTCCAGGCTTACATCTCTGCAGGAGCAGCTAAAAGACAAGGTCTTCTTCCTCCAACTCAGGAAAAGCCCCAGGTTGAGTCTCATTGGTTTGCCTTGGGTCAGGTACCCATTCCTGAACCAGTCACCTTGATCAAGGGGATGATCAAGGGGATGGAAGAGGCTAATTGCTCGTTTGGATCCTGGCACATCCGTGAACCAGTCACTGTGGCAAAGGGAATTTGTGAATTGGTCAAGCTCGGCGTTCATTGCTGCCGGTCTCATTGATGGGATGTGCGATCGCACGAAGTTTGGTTTTTATTTCTCGTATTTCTAGTAAGAGTGAACATTCTTTTCAGTGTTTATCAGCTTTTTGGTTTTTTCTTTACGTGCACTTTACCTGCAGTTTTCTTTATCCTAATGATTTTAGGAGTTTACTTTGGAAATTGTGGCCTCCAATCCTTTCCCAGTTTTGTGAGTTACACAGCCCTTCTCCCTGTTTGG